TTTTTTTTTTACTTAAGTTAGTTTGGGTTGAGTTTTTGCCATTTAAAATCAAAAGAACGCTGAAAAATAGAGTATGCATACTTTTTTGGTATATTAAAAAAAAAGAAGGGGCGCCTGGGTGGCGCAGTCGGTTAAGTGTCCGACTTCAGCCAGGTCACGATCTCGCGGTCCGTGAGTTCGAGCCCCGCGTCAGGCTCTGGGCTGATGGCTCGGAGCCTGGAGCCTGTTTCCGATTCTGTGTCTCCCTCTCTCTCTGCCCCTCCCCCATTCATGCTCTGTCTCTCTCTGTCCCAAAAATAAATAAACGTTGAAAAAAAAATTAAAAAAAAAAAAAAAAAGAAAACCGTTCCATTCACACAGTGTTGTTTCTAATAAAAAAGAAGGCAGTATGATGACTACACTTGAGGAACGCACATTCTATTTGGGGACAGGGCTGAGATTTACAAATGTCAGAACTTCACTTCCTCATCTACATAATGTCCTCCTTGAGAGCAGGAACTGGGTTTTCTAGTTCTCCATCCCCATACCACATGCACACCTGGGCCCAGTGACTGGCACATGTTTAATAAGTAACTACTGAATAGCTAAGCAGATGGCACCTGCTGTAATGTTTGTTAGGCCTTTTATGGACTAATCTTGTATACTCTGTTTTTTCTCAGTTCCTTTCCCTAATGTACAGTACCACTGACCTTTGGGAAACTCATTATATTATTCAGTAAAACAGATTCTACAAACTCAGAATTGCTCATTGTAATAAAATTTGCCAGGGTCTACAGAATAGAGGGACTATTTTATAAAAATGATCTGAAATTTCGTAAACTCATTTAAAATTGTAAAACATGTTAATATTCCGTATTTAACTAAGCCCATAGCTTAGTTAAACTAACCAAAATGTAGTAAAAACATAAAATATTCAAACAGAACATAGTTGGATTTTTATTGTCTAAAATATTACTTTCTTCATTTAAAATGCACCTTGGCAAACATAAGACTATACTTTGACCAAACGAATGAGAAATGCAGAACAAATAGAGAATAACCAACCAGTATTTGGAGAGGAGCAGGTGGGGAAGTTTTGATTAAGCTATTTCTGCTTCCAAACAGAAATCCTGGTTATAGGATCTGTCACAGATATGCTGACTTCCAATATGTTACGCTAAACAGAATTTCAAATCTTTACAGCAGCAGCAAAAAATAGTCACAAGATACATAAAGGATTTTAGCTCTTACCGCTTTCCCCTGGTCTTGTATTGATCTGAGGACCTCAAGAGTTTGAATCCTTCCCCCACCCACAACTTCTTGTTCTCCTCCTATTTTTAGATTCTTGCTTGAATACTCTTTGGTAGCCACTCAAAGACTTTGAAAATTGCCCGCTTAGTTCCTATCTGGTCCTCAAAAACCAGCCAAGCTCTGGGTGAAGGGAACATTCAGGTTCAGCCTTGTGCTCTGGGCATTGGCAATCGTGAACAAAGGAGAATGGCCTTAATGTCAGGAGTCTATTACTGGCTGCAGCAGCTTCTCCTGGTTCCAGATATACTCTCTGTGGCCAAATGAGGTTTAATAGACAGAATCATTCTCTAAATGGTCATCTTGGCCGCAGGTAATCAATACACATGGCCAGAATGGCTGGGCAAGCTATTGGGCCAGCTCCAGGAAGGGAAGGGTTGACAACAGAGTTTGGAACTCTCTGGGCAACAATTAAGAACAGTTTACATGGTAGTCTATGTTGGAAATTACTTATTTGGACATTTTCCCCTCAGAGGCTCCTCTCCTAAAAAATCTGTTTTGTGGTATGGTATCTTAAATTTATATCTACTCTGTTCTGTGGAAGTCCTATCTCATTCTTGGCACCCCCACAGAGTTTCAGGAATGTCCGAAACCTCAGAAAAGAACAATTGGAATCATTCTTTTGCTGAGACAAGTATGATAATTTCTTCAGAGATTATGAAAATCATAACTTATTATCGCTGAAAGGGATATTAACAATCTAACCCAGTCTTTTTATTATATTTATTGGTCATGAAGCTGAGGCACTTTGAAAATTAAGTGACTTTCATGGTTAAATTATGGTCTACATAATAGATATGGTTACTAAATTGGTGGCACAGTGCACTTCAGCCGTTAGATGATAACCCAGGGGGCAGGAAAAATAATGGAACTTCTCTTTATGTTTATCTCATCTGATATAATAAAGATTATTTATAAATATTTAATAAGAATGGCTAATTATGACTTTTATGAACACATAGAAATGACTTCCATGAATGTATGTGGCAATATACATGTTGTATTCAAAATCAGTGCCCTAGAATTTTTTATCCTCTTTTCATGTTTTTCCCCAGAAACAGTGGTTATCATGTTAGATACTATATCCTTTACTTATGTACTTTGTTTACAGTGTATCTCCCTTCTGCTGGAATGTAAGTTCCATGAGGCAAGACATCACCAGCCCTACATGGGGAGCTCTTTGGACTGTAAACCAAACCACCAAGAAAAGAAGCAGTTATTTCTTCTTCTCTTTTCCTTGCCCATGACTTATTCTAGAAGTTTATGAGCATGTGTTCTAATATTACCATTAAGTCACTTACTATAGGATTCTAAGGAAATCATGTTGCTTCTGTATGCCTCAGTTTTATAAGCAGGTTGGACTAGATAATCTTTTTGGTCCCTTCCAGGTATAACATTTGTTCCCTGTTCTATTTCTAGTTCCTAGAACAAAGAAAACACCCAATAAATGTTTTTAAATGAATAAATGAATATATTACTGGTACATAATGTGCAAACAAATATACGTATGTCAGCTGTGAATGCTCAAGAACTTTTTACCAGTGAGAATACATTATTTGTAATGTTTGGAGCCCTATCAGTTCGGCAGTTTTTGTTTGAAGCATGCTAGGGGGACTGGTTAAGGGTTAAATGGGGTACTAATGAAAGAGGGTACTTGAAGTGAGGGCTCTTCTGTTCAGTGAAGACTGTAATTCATCGGGAAAGGATTTTTTTATTCTAGAGATTTGTTTGAATGGCCTATTTTAGTCATGAGAAAGTAGGACAAGTAGGCAAGCATTATTTTGGGCTTAGAGTAGAGTAGGAACTATGGTGACTGAATCCAGGGCTTCCATTACCTTGGATAACAGGTTAAAAAAATGATTTCCTTTGGGGATCATAGGGGGCAAATTTCTGCTTCAGAGATTCATTTTTTTTAAGTTTATTTATTTATTTTGAAAGAGAGAGAGAGAACAAGCAGGGGAAGGGCAGAGAGAGACGGAGACAGAGGATCCAAAGCAGGCTCTATGCTGACAGCAGACAGCCTGACGTAGGGCTCAAACTCACGAACTGGGAGATCATGACCGGAGCTGAAGTCAGACTCTTAACTGACTGAGACACCCAGGTGTCCTTGATATTCAATTTTAAGAAGAACTGGGGAGGAGGTCACAAGTTGCTCCAAACAAGGTCCAGCAGCAGAGAAGAGCAATGACATCCTTTGAATAAAATTCCCAGAAGAATAGTAGACTGTAGCTTGGCCTGGATCCCAAAGTCTAAGTTTTGGGAGTAGAGCAGATGTTGCTTGTTATGGCACACTCTATACCTCAGGGTAGATATTCTGCAGGACCTAGTCACATGGGCTGTTTTCATGATGTGCTTTGGAGGACAATGACTTAACAGTGTGTATGACCTCCAACCTGCTGCCATGTAGGTTTCTAGACCTGGCATTCTTCACAGAGTTGGTAGGCTCCCATAGGACTGAGCAGGACTCAGCTTCAAAAGTAACACTCTATGGCAGGGAGAAACAATAGCCATGGTGAGCTAATCAAAACTAAGTTTTCTCTATTCCTGGTATTAAAACTTTCTTTGTTGCTGGATGAGTCCTTTAGATACTTGGACAACTTGAGTTTGGGATGGAGTAATGGGGTCTGATGTACGGAGGGACTGCCCAAGCAATTGGCTAGAAAAGACAAAAGAGATGTGAAAACTGTTTTACTCTGAGTGTGTTTAGAGATTTTCTACAGTTACATGGTCTTTTTTTTTCCTCTTTTTTTTTAAACCTGTGAACATTCAGGATCACATTAGAGGTGATTTTCCATTAGTATTGTTTCAGAAACCATTAGATACTTTGGCAAGTGAGTGGACAAAGTCCAAGTTCTGAGATGGAAACGTGTGAAATTAACATATATTTTCAGTTCTGACAGTACACTTATTTGCATTGTCAGGGTACTTACATTCTCTGATTACTGTTTTTATCTCTTAGGAGGTCACAGAGAACTCTCCTGTTGTATAATATTATTAATCACCCAGGTAATCTTTTTTTTTTTTAATTTTTTTTCAACGTTTATTTATTTTTGGGACAGAGAGAGACAGAGCATTATTGGGGGAGGGGCAGAGAGAGAGGGGGACACAGAATCGGAAACAGGCTCCAGGCTCTGAGCCATCAGCCCAGAGCCTGACGCGGGGCTCGAACTCATGGACTGCGAGATCGTGACCTGATCACCCAGGTAATCTTTATAGGTCAAATAGAAACAAAAGAAATTGCATAAAGGGTCACATATCTCAAAAGAACAATAGCAAATGTCATATTGATAATACTCTGCCTGAAAGAATTTGCTCTTTTTCTTCTAAAATATCTAGTTTAAATTAATTTCCTCTTTACAGTGGTGCATTGTACTGCCTTAAGGAAGAAAGGAAAGGTAAACATTATTCTTTGTTTTTTGTTACTTGTAGATCAAGACAGTTGCATTAGCGCAGTCATACTGCATTAAAGCAATGAATGTAGAAGTCTCAGATGTAATATGTGGACCAGGTATTCACATGACAAAGCCCATCAGCTGGTCCCTATGACACCCAGGACAGCTCAGAGTGAAAGGTTACTTAGCTTCTCAAACTCAGCCACAGACCCTGAACAGCTCTCAGGAAGATAAAGGCTAATCTGAGGGCAAAAGCATATTTGCTCCTCAGGGCTAATGTGTTTATACTTAAAAAATAAGTTTAACTGTTGGGGCACTTACATCTTGATTAGACATTTCCCAATAAGGTCTCTCTCCGTAGGACATGACCTCCCACATGACAATGCCATAGCTCCACGCGTCACTTGCCGAGGAGAACTTTCTATAGGCAATAGCTTCTGGGGCTGTCCACCTTATCGGAATTTTCCCACCCTGGAAAACAAATTGGAGATTTCTCAGCTGGCTCACAAGTATATTAAAAAACCAAGTGGCAGTCCAATTAAATAGATTTTGTTAGAAAGATCTAAATACTGCATGATAGCATTGGCATTTTAAATAAAAGTAAGAGAACCAGAATAATGTTAAATGTCAGAAATATCTTTCCTATAATAATTATTCAGTGAAAACAACTTTAATGGGAAATAAGTCACACTTCAGAAATACTTTATTTCATTCATTAGAGAAATTTATTTTCACTTTAGATTCACACAATTAAACTCACTATCATGCCATTTGAAGAAAGTTCTGGATTATAGAACGTTAACACCAAATATCGTTCAGCATTCATTAAACACTATTACATGTATAAATAATAATGATAATACGTTCTAACTTAATTGAAGATAAACAGTTAAATACAGAACGGAGACATTCTCTGTAATTCAATGTTTATCAGAACTTTCTCTTTCCTTTTTATCTATGATTATATTTACTTCAAATTAAGAAATCCTTTAACATCATACAAGAGCACCTGAGAAGGATAATCTTTCTTAATGGTACTTTAGGCTAGTTTATATTCTTGTTCTTCGGTGTTCAAGTTAACATTTGAACATGTTAAAGAGATAAAATTGCATGAATTTAATCTATATTGTTCAGGTATTAAAGTCGACTAATGTGTTATACTTATTTTTTTATCAACATTTATTACATTTTATCTCTCGAAACACTCTATAAATCCCTTTTTACTGTAATGACAAGAATAAAACAATTCATCCGTTTGAGTTACAATCTGAAATATTTGCAGCGCGGAACGGCAAGCTGTGCGGAGGAGGGCGCCCTCGACGCCACTAGATGGCGGAAGAGAACGAGCTGCGCCCAGACCGCGGGGATGGCTTCTGCTGGCAACATAGATTTTTAAGTCAGAACGCACCTCGATGGAATTGTTTCATCATTATCAGCATTTCCAGGATCACATCATCTGATCCCCCACTGCGTTCAGAGTCTGATGTTACGGTGAGTGGGGGTGGGAGGCAATAGTGGGTGCATTCATTGGCCCTTGAGGAAGTTAGGTCGAACATTTTTAAAGGTGAAGCCATGAATCGAGTAATCTAAACACTACTTTTTTTTTTTTTTAGTAATCTAAGCACTTACTCGAAAAGAGATTCATCCGAGAGGGGAATAATTAGGTTTACAAGGCAAATGAGAGCATTAACGGAATCCTCATTTTCAACATTTTTTTTTTCAACGTTTATTTATTTTTAAGACAAAGAGAGACAGCATGAACGGGGGAGGGGCAGAGAGAGAGGGAGACACAGAATCCGAAGCAGGCTCCAGGCTCTGAGCCATCAGCCCAGAGCCTGACGCGGGGCTCGAACTCACGGACCGCGAGATCGTGACCTGGCTGAAGTCGGACGCTTAACCGACTGCGCCACCCAGGCGCCCCCGGAATCCTCATTTTAAAGACCTGTAGCAAGGAAATGTTGAAGGAACCTTGGGGATAATACCTTGAATTCAATCCCCTGATTTTACAGGTGAGCAGACTGAGCCCAGGGTTTAGAGATTTAGAGATTCCTCTCAACATTATTAAATACATAATGTCTACTAATGTTATCATAGTAGTATTATGGGGTATCAATATAAAGATGTAAATACTTCAGCATGGGGAAAAAGTTGGACCAAACTAATTTTAGTGTTGTAACACTGAACATCTGCAAGCATATATCATAGCAGTATAACGGAAGGAAGCCAGAGCCTGAAACCTTCGGTGTTCACACTTACTGGCCTTTCCAAATGAAGGCCAGGAAATTAAATTTACAAAGTTGGTGACAGTAGTTGAAGAGGGTGATGGGCAGAGGAAGCGAGTTTTAAGAGGAGGATTCATTTCTAAACCCAAAGTAGAGTTGCCAGATAAAATATAGGCCCCACTGTTACATCTGGATATCAGGTAAATAACAAATACTTTTTCTTTCTTCTTTTCTTAGTCTAAGCATGTCCCCATAAAGGAATACATTGTGTGTGTGTGTGTGTGTGTGTGTGTGTGTGTGTGTGTGTGTGTAGCTATGTCCAAGTATTTCATGAGACATTTATACTAAAAAAAAAAAAAAAAGGTTTATCTGCAATTCAAATTGGACTGGGTATCCTATATATTTATTTACTAAACTGTGCAACCCTACCACAGAACATTAAAAAAAAATTCAGAAATGGAAGTACTGTAAATGATCCAACACATAAAATAGTATTCTGAAAAAACACCTTGCAGTCTGTACTTCATGAGGGGACCAAGGACACTCTGAGTTGTATTTGTGCACCAGCACTCCAGCAGCCTTTGTTTTATGGCATGTTTGTGGCTAAAGTCCCTGGGTCTCATGGCTCTGAATTTCAAAGCCACTTAAGTCAGGCTCAGGCTTGTTTCGAATATGAAGCCACATTTCCAGAGAATAAAGACCAAATCTGTAGAGCTAACTTCAGAACAGATGCAAGAGCAGCAGTCTCATTTGACATTTCTCATTCTGGATCTTTCTTTGTCTTTCTGGCAAAAAATACATAGAAATCTGCTGGCCCTACTAAATCTTGTGAGTTCTATTAAGACAGGCCAATAAAAAAAAGTAGTTAATGGTTATCTTAGGTGCATTCACTTACTATTATTATTTTTAATGTTTATTTATATTTGAAACAGAAAGAGACAGAGTATGAGCTGGGGAGGGTCAGAGAGAGAGGGAGACACAGAATCTGAAGCAGGCTCTAGGATCTGAGCTATCAGCATAGAGCCCAATGTGAAGCTCAAACCCACAAACTGTAAGATCATGACCTGAGCTGAAGTAGGATGCCCAACCGAGCCACCCAGACACCCCTAGGTGCATTAACTTATAAATGATATCTCATGTAAGTGAATCACATATAAATTTATATTTTGCATAAGCTGATATCACATATAAATGATAACTTTATCCCTTTCCTAAGAGTTTGTTTTTTTTTCCTCAAGGAGAAGATATTACAGAATGCTTGATTAATAGCATTGCTATCTGTTATGAACTGAATTGTGTTTCCTCAAAGTTCACATTTTGAAGCCCTAAACCCCAATGTGACTGTATTTGGTGATAGGGCCTGTTAAGAGGTAATCAAAGTTCAATGAGGTCGTAAGGGCGGACCCTACTTCAGTATGATTGCTGTCCTTATAAGAAGATGAAGAGATGCCAGATGTGTGCAGGCACAGGGGAAAGGCCATTGGAGGACACAGCAAGAATTTGTCCATCTACAAGTCAAGGAGAGAGACCTCAGGAGAAGCCACACCTGCCAACACTTAGATTTTGGATGTCCAGCCTCCAGAACTGTGAAAAATAAGTTTTTGTTGCTTGAGCCATCCAGTCCCTGGTATTTTGTTATGGCATCCCTAGCAGACCAATACGCTACCCCTATGAAAAACCAAAAATGTTTATCTAAGATAAACAACATTGCAAAATGGACAGCAAATCTTTATTTCAAATTCTATTCCAAATGTCATCTTGAAATGGGAAGTGTGAGCTAGAATAAATCTGAAAGATGAAATATCATCACAGAAGTTTTAATGTAGGAGATATAATTCTAATTAATAAAAACACATGGTAACATGAACCTGACAGTATGCACAAATTTCAGTAATTCTGAGCATATATGGGATGGAGATAAGGAAGCATTCAGATCTTTTTTTTTTTTTTTTCTAGTGGCTGGATACAGACTGAATATAGTTGATCTCTAAGTGCAAGATACAGCTGAAAGGAAGAGGTCCTTAAGAGTAGCACATGGACTCTATCCCCTTTCCTACTTTAGAGGACACACAGAAGCTTAGTTCTCCCCCTCCACCTTTTTTTTTTTTTTAATTGAGTGGACCAACAAACATTTGTGGTTTAATCCCAGCTACTTATTTTTGCCCATGATCTTGAATCATAGAGGTAATGCACTATGTTACTTTTTTCTCAAAGCATTAACCACCAGATGTTTGTTTCAGGTTTCAGGAATGAACAAATAGTACTTTAGATTTGAAATCACAATCATTGGAACATTACATATTGCTTTACCATATGTTTATGAGGGGGAAAAAAGTTACCGGTGATGCTAATCAAAATGATTGAATGTAACTCAAAAGACTTCTTATTTCCTAGTACCTGCCTTATCCAGCAAGCTTAATCACTTAGGGAACAAAGGAGAAACAAGAAGTAAGCAAACCGGATCTGGTTCACTATGGAAAGGGTTGTTAGCAAACCTTTTCTCTGCTTTAAAAGTCATATTCAGAGCTTAGTGTCTAAAGAGGGGTTATAGCAGGAAAAGTGCTGAAGAGGCAACCAGTAACCTTGTATACCTGTAAACCCCATACCTCCTGAGAGGAATTGCATTATAACTGTATTTAACATTTGAGGTTTAGAACCCAATCCTCTAATCTTCAGTGGAGGAGACAATCAATTGAAATATAGTGAGGTTACAAAGGCTTAATACTGAAACCAAATAGAAAACTTCTACTGAGAAACAAGAATACTTAAGACTCTCTCCATTTCTCATTCACTGGATTTGATGGTTATCTTAAAGGCAAATGGCTAGAATAGACAACGACCAGCCTGCAGATGTTTTTTTTTTTTTTTAATTTTCTTAATCTATCTCTGTAGTACGCACACTTCAATGAGTGTCAGAATTAAAACATATATACAATGCTTACAGATTAGGAAATTTCCAACAACAATTTTAAGTATTTCTCTTTATGGGCTGCACATTCTAAGTGAGATGAAACTCTTCTACAGTCCATTGTGTGACTTCGGGCAAGTCTTAACTCTGAGTCTTATATTTCAGATCTGCAAAATGAGGGGATTTGAATTAATGATCATAAACTCGTAAATTACAGTGCGTTTTAATGATTTGCCTACAGTTTCTTGGCTACTGTTAAATTGTAAGTAGACAGGCCGTATGAGTTGGTACCTACTCCACATAAACAGATAGCCTGATGACACACAGTACAGGAGACAAACACACTCTTGAGTCACATCCCAGGCCGATAATTAATGGTCACAGTGATCATCCTAACTCATACGGAAGAGTTTAAATAACTTAATCATTTTTAGTTTAAGAAGGTAACAGTATGAAAGTACATATTAGAAAGGTATGAAAATAGGACACTGACTTTTTTCCCTTTTTGTTTTTTACTTTTAATGGGTTAAAATACTCTTAATGAGCAACCACTGGTTATTTGGAAAACTCATTATGCGAATGCTTACTGATGTCAGATGAAAGGGGCATTAATTTGTTTACTGAAAGATCATTTTACATTAAAATGTCTTGTCAGTGGGATTATCTGTGGCAAAGGTGGTCTGGTTTGGGGAATAATGGTGGAGGAATCGGCACTCTGGGGTCTTCTGCTTTAATTCAATATGGTGTCTTGGGAAGTCATAGCAAATTGCAGAAAGATCTCTCACACACTAGTTTACAGAAAATCCTCACTTGGCGGATATTCTCCTTTCTCTTAAGAATTACTGATCTTGAGAAGTGACTCTATCTCTGAACATCTCTTTCTAGTTTGTATTCCCCAACCAATAAATGATATTGTGTACAGCTACATTATATTGTGAAATTTCTAAAAACTACATCCCACACCCTCACGGCGTGATGTATACTTCCCTCCTTCATTGAGGTTTACTGACCTGTGGCAACTCTGCTGTTGTGTGGAGCTTTATCTTTTTCTGAAATATGGGGATAATATTTGTCCTTCCTTGAAGACTGAGGGCTATAATGGAATGAATTCATCTGTAGTCACAAAGGAGAGATCTACTTACATTTTGGTTTCCAGATAACATTTATGAAGTAGATTAAATGAGATAGTACACACGAAGCACCCAACATATAGTAGGCACTCGGGACACGTTTGTCTCCTTAATTTAGGTACTTAAAAGTCTCTTTTTTTGGACCTGCATGGTAACTGCAGCCCATGTCAGCATCCCAGTTCTCTCATCTGGAGTCACCAGCCCACCACCTGCAGTGCTGGGCTCAAGGGTGAGCTTCTCAAACAAAAGCTTTTAGGAGCCAGAGGCAACACATAAATTGTTGGTAGACAAGCTCTGACTCAGTCATTGTGATTCAGACATGCCTTGTCCAGTTTGAGGAAATCTGTCTATCTTGGTCCAGGGAGTTCTGTCTATGCCAACCTTCCTGCCACTGCACGACCGGTGTCCTTCCAAAACTGAGACATCTCTCATTCATCTTATTCTTTCATGGGTATAATTCTGTGGTTAAATGTTGGCAGCCAGATTTCTGCCTACAGCTGGATCTTCCTGATCATACTTTCTGGATTTCTTGCCTTTTGCTGAGTATTTCTCTTCTCTTTGTGGGGTGTGACACAATGGTTAAGATACAAACCTTTTGTCTTCACAAATGCACACGTGGAATCACACACACACACACATACACACGATTTTGCATCAGTATCATGTGATTTATACATGCCAGGTTGAGACACTCTTGCTGTAAGCAGAAGACCTTTTTTTGCATGGTATTTTAAAAATTAAGGCACTGA